AAAGAATGAAAAAAAGAAAAAGGGGCAATAAACAAAGAAAGAAAGAAAGAAAGAAAGAAAGAAAGAAAGCGAAAGAATGAAAAAAAGAAAAAGGGGCAATAAACATAGAAAGAAAGAAAGAAAAAAAGAAAGAAAGCGAAAGAATGAAAAAAAGAAAAAGGGACAATAAACAAAGAAAGAAAGAAAGAAAGAAAGAAAGAAAGAAAGCGAAAGAATGAAAAAAAGAAAAATGGGCAATAAACATAGAAAGAAAGAAAGAAAGAAAGAAAGAAAGAAAGAAAGCGAAAGAATGAAAAAAAGAAAAACGGGCAATAAACATAGAAAGAAAGAAAGAAAGAAAGAAAGAAAGAAAGAAAGAAAGAAAGAAAGCGAAAGAATGAAAAAAAGAAAAAGGGGCAATAAACATAGAAAGAAAGAAAGAAAGAAAGAAAGAAAGAAAGCGAAAGAATGAAAAAAAGAAAAAGGGGCAATAAACATAGAAAGAAAGAAAGAAAAAAAGAAAGAAAGCGAAAGAATGAAAAAAAGAAAAAGTGGCAATAAACAAAGAAAGAAAGAAAGAAAGAAAGAAAGAATGAAAAAAAGAAAAAGGGGCAATAAACATAGAAAGAAAGAAAGAAAGAAAGAAAGAAAGAAAGAAAGAAAAAGAGAGAATGGAAGAAATTAAGAAAGAAAGAATGAATGAATAAACGAAAGAAAGAAAGAAAATAATAAGTATAAAAATAATAAAGAGAAAGAAATAAAGAGAGTAAGAAAGATATACAAAAAGAAAGAAAGGAGGGAATAATAAAATCAATTAAGGAATAAATTTAAAAAATAAAGATGTAAGAAACAAGAAAGAAAGTTAATAATAAAGAAATAGTGAAAGAGAGAGAATTAAAAGGTTAAGATTGAGTGAATGAAAGCATAAGAATAAAAGAGATTAACAAAGAAAGAATGAAAGAAAGAGACTAAGAAAGAAGGAAAACATTCAAAAAGGAAATAAAAAGGAACGAGAGAGAATTAATGAGAAGAAGAAAAATAAGAGAGAAAGAAAGAAAGAATAAAAGAAATTAAAGAAGAAAAAGTAAAGTGATTAAGAAAGAAAGAAAGAAAGAAAGAAAGAAAGAAAGAAAGAAGTTAAATGAAAAAAAAAAAAATGAAAAGCAAATCTAGATTAGGAATAAATGAATTCTGGCCGCCATTTTTACATGTTGTTTTAATTCCTTCCATATATATTAATGTGTGTTAACTGAAATTTAAAAGTAGTCCTCAATCAGATTTAATCAATGGCGTATAGAAACTCATAAAATAAGCATTCTTAAAGAGAGAGAGAGAGAGTTAGAGAGAGAGATCATGTAAAATCTTCTATCTATGTCTCTTTTACTCCTATGTACCATGTCCCATCATGGCTCTCCACAACTTCCTGTCCTTTGTAGCTTTCAGGCTAGTTTGTCTTTTTGTTATATCGCGTAATCCCTATTCTGCGAACCATTTACGCAAGCCCGTTAAGTAGGTTGCGTGCTATTTTTCTCTGTTTCTCTAGTTTTTTTTAATAGGTCATGTGAGTGTCAAATTTTCGAAGCCTTCTTTCCTCATTGTTTATCTTGACATTTCATCTGTTGCATTCTGATGTTAAATATAAGTGCTCTTTTTGTTTCTATTTTCTCTAAAACTTCGTCGTTGCTCACGTGTTCAGTTCATGGTATTCTCACTATCCTTCTGTAGAACCATATTTCTTGTTGAAATGGAATGTCTCACACTCCCTATCGCCTAAGTGAAATGACTATATCAGTAGTTATATATAGGGAGCATTGGATAAACCTGGAGGCGTGTTTGGACAATTAGTTGGAGATTCGTCTCCAGTGGTGCTGGTTGAACTGTCTGGCTTCTGGCAGAGAGGAACACAGACGAGGGTATGCCGAAGGGTAGAATCTCATCTGGTATGGTAGGCAGCTACCGGACCCCGTGTATTCGGGGTCTACGGGGAATTTTTGCCCGAGCCTACGGCCTCGATTTCGCTCCGCATTAAAAAAAAGGCCTTGTGCCACTTCCTGCCTAGCCGGGAGGTAAGGTAAATAACCTTGCTTCGCCTCAGCTGTGTTGCTCGAACTCTCTGCCTGAAGGCAGAGAGGAACCCAGACGTGGCTATGCCGAAGGGCAGAGTCTCGTCTAGGGTGGTAGACAGCTACACGACCCAGTGTATGCGGGGTCTAGGGGGAGTTTTTGCCCGAGCCTAAGGGTTCGGTTTTGCCCCGCATTAAAAATCGTCCTAGTGCCACATCCTGCCTCACAGGGAGGTAAGGTAAATAAGCTTGCTTTGGGAATTACTAGTCTACCCCCCGATTACCTGTCTTTTAGTTGTGTATTCTCTTTTGAAATAAATCTCTCTTCTTTCATCTATGTGCGTGTTGCTATTCCTTCACTCGGGTACCACTTTTGTTTGTTTCTAACCTCTTTAAGCATACAACATTTCTGTTGCCCCATGTTTCTTTTCTATCTGTGATATGATAATCCAGCATTCACTGCCTGATAGGGGGATCGAGATCAGTACTCTTTTCTGTGTTTTTCTCTGTTTCTTAATCCATTGCTTAAATTTTGGAAGGGATTTTTCGCTATTCGAATGCGCCTTCGGATTCCGATGTCGTATTTTGCGAAACTCTTTTCCTCCCCACTTCGCTCTCTTTTAGTCAAACTGATTTTTTTTTCTATAGGGATTTTCTCTCATTTGCAGTTTTTATACTTGGACTGATTTTTTCATTTGTGTTGTCATTAACACACTGTTCCGGCCGTTGTGCTCTCCGGGCTAAACGTTTTGATAATATCATCAAAGATGAAGATCTTAGTTCGAATATAAATAAGGAAAAGTCCTCATCTCAGAAATTCAGCGAGGATATTTTAAAATGTTATACTACTAAGTAGTAGTAGTAGTTGTAGTAGTAGTAGTTGTAGTAGTCATAATAGTCTAAAGTCAGAATTTTTAGATGAATTACAGTGCAACCTCGGTGTTCGAATGTCTCACATGGCGAAAAATTGGTTTTCGAACAGAAAATTCGAGATGAAAATGCCTCGGTTATCGAACAAAATTTCGGTTTTCGAACATTGCCGAGTCGAGTTAACACGAACGGAATAGTTTCTGAATCGAACCCCGTGTTGTATACATTCGTGTATTATTCTGTGCTTTTTTTCTTCAATTTTGTTGTAATTGTGACTTTTTTTCGCTACAAAGATTCCTATTTGAAAAATAATTTCGGTTTACGAACATTTCGAGTTACGAACGGCCTTCAGGAACAAATTCAATTCGGGAATCGAGGATGCACTGTATTTTTATTATTATTTTATTTTAAATAGATTTTCTGTCCTCTGATAATTTTGTCTGTTTAGTCTTCTTCATAATAGTGATTTATATATTCTGTATCCCTTTAAGATATAGACGACCACGGCTTTCCACAACTTCTTATCCCTTGTTGCTCTTAGCTGTTTCCCCACTTTTATTACTACTATCATTCCACCATTCATAGACATAAGTGGATCACTGCCCTCCCCTATCTCCCTTGCACTCAATATTCCCAGTGATCTTTATATTTTCCAAGTCTTCCTTCCTCATGATGTGTCCAAGAAATTCCAGCTGTTTTTTTTCCTGATTCTGTTACCATTTTCTTTAAGACTTCCGTGTAACTAACATGCCCCTTTCATGGAATTTTCAGTATCCTTCTGTGGAACTACCCTTCTGCTGCCTCTAGTTTCCACTTCTTTCTTGAGAATATTATTCAGCAATAAGAGCACTCCTTTTTTCTTTTCTTTTTCTTTTTTTGTTTCTTACGATATTTTCCGTTTCTCAGTAACTTTTGCTAGTCAAATGAATGTTCGGATCTCGGTGCCATATTTTCCATAAAAAAAACTCCTTAAGGACACATGGCACAGTGGATAAAAGCGTTAGTTAGATCCAGTGACAGGACCCAAAGAGTTGTGAGTTCAATACCCGGTTAAGGCAATGAAGAACTTGGAGAAGAGTATTAACAGGAGATAACTGACAACTGACATCCATTAGACATGGCACGTGGAACTAGAACAGTCTACCCCAGTGAGCGAAATAAAGTGTTCTGTTCGACATTCCAACCACCTGAAGCAGGCCGGAGTTACAACGGCCGAAAGGTTGTGATAAATATGGCGACAAAGATGAGGACAATAGTCCGATTAATGTAAATAGTGTAAAAAAAAAAGCTTCCCAAATATTTAAACATCTGCATTTCCTTGATGTTGAAATCTCCAATATGTAACTTGCATATTTTTTTTGTAATACTGATGACCATACTTTCTTGCGGTCGAGTGTGAGTCCGTTTTCTCCACGCTTTATTCTACAACACTGTCTAGGAGGTGCTGTACACAGTGTCATCTGTGTATCTGTGTATAGTGTTATGATTACGCCCACAGATAATAAATACTGGTAGGGTCTCCAGTCCCCCTTAGGATAGCGTCGATGGAGAGGTTGAATATATCTAAGAAGACACATCCTTGTCTCAAGCCCATCGCTGTTTTTGTGCAGTTAATTCATTTTCTATTCGAATACAGGCATTTTGATCCCAGTATAAATTCTGAATTATTCTAACACGTTTTCCAAATGGATCTAGTTTCGCGAGCAGACAGTCCTAATTTCTAAGCTAAATCCTTCTCTTTGTTATTTATTTGTTGTGAGCATTTTTCTTTTCTTATTTCTTCGTCCAGTAGTAGTTGTCTTAATATTGTTAGATTGTCCTAATTTTGAAGATGAAATATTAGTACTTTTTAAAGAGTTTTTTTTTCTCTATCGTTTGATAATTTTGAGTGCGTAGTAGTAGTTGTAGTAATCCTAAGTTGTCGAAATTTCTCAGAGGACGCATTTCTCTTATTAATTTAATGAATTATTGTCGTCATAGCATCGTCTGTTCATTAGTCAGCCATTTCTTTTTGTTTTTTTACTACGCTTTCTGTGTTTTTCCTATTCCTGTCATCTTTACAAAAAGTTCTCTTTCTTCGATCATTTATTTTAGTTCTTTAACAGTCTTTCTAATTTTATATCCATCATTATTCTTTCTCTGTTTTTTTTGTTTTGTTTGTTTGCTATTTTATAACCAATATCAGAGTTGCTATCTTAATTTTCCTTCGTGTTCTGCCCGTCTACGTTTTACTGAGCCCGACACAAGGCCTTGAATTAGTCTACATTTTCTGTAGAGAGGAGAATGTTCATTGAAAATAAGTGTTTATTTTGGGCTTATTTTTTTAAGAATTAATAAGATATAACCAATATCAACTATCCATGTTTTCTTTCTTTTGATTAATCATCTTCTATTTAATTTTATTTCTCAATATTTCACCGAATGTTCTGAGGAATTCTTGGGTTATCTTTCCTTCTTGCTTCATTGTTGTCATCTCAAATTTTTTATTGGCATTAATTACTTCATTGTTATCCTTGATCGTCAAACATTCTATCTTGTATGGCTGATGCTAACCGCCAGAAAGGTAACACATTGCACTTTCTGTTGCATGCACTGACTTCAAGTGAAAAGATTATATTGAAGCAATTGATAGGTTTGCTGCGATGGGAACTGGTTCAATGTGTCGTGCTACACAATTTTACTTGACAAAATCTATCGTACAAATACATATATATATATATATATATATATATATATATATATATATATATATAGTATAAAGGTGTGAATCCTCTTCTCCGTCCAGCTATGGGTAAATAGCAGGACAGACTGGGTACTATAGCCGTGGATGGCAACTGGTATAGGAGAAGCACAACTCTGAATTCAAATCCTTCTGAAGCGC